GCGAATGGGGCAACACCCTTTCCCCTCCGGCAGACTTGATGGCCTGGATCAATGCATAGTCCGTTCACTTTTCTGCTCCAAGCTGCTGGGTTCTGCATTAAGTCCTTGTGCTTCTGGGGCCGTGGCCGTGCTGGAGAGCCGCTCGCGGGGGGCAACTGGTGACCTCGGTAGGGCGTGAAGGACGGACCAGAACGCCCCCCTTCCCATGAGGTTTTAGTTGCCCCCACATCCCCGGCTCATACCTGCTGTCCACAAGGCTCCCATGTGGCCGCCATCTTTCTTTCCAGAGGGAGGAGGGCGGAAGGGAGCAACACCCTTTCCCCTCTGGGCAGAAATGATTGCCTGGATTAACGCATAGTCCTTTCACTTTTCTGCTCCAAGCTGCTGGGTTCTGCATTAGGTCATTGTGCTTCTGGGGCTGTGGCCGTGCTGGAGAGCCGCTCGTGGGGGCAACTGGTGGCCTCAGTAGGGCATGAAGGGCGGACCGAAACGCCCCCCTTCCCATGAGGTTTTAGTCGCCCCCACACTCCCGGCTCATACCTGCTGTCCACAAGGCTCCCATGTGGCCGCCATCTTTCTTTCCAGAGAGGAGAGGGCGAATGCGGCAACACCCTTTCCCCTCCTGCAGACTTGATTGTCTGGATTAACGCATTGTCCTTTCACTTTTCTGCTCCAAGCTGCTGGGTTCTGCATTAAGCCCTTGTGCTTCTGGGGCTGTGGTCGTGCTGGAGAGCCGCTCGTGGGGGGCAACTGGTGACCTCGGTAGGGCGTGAAGGACGGACTGGAACGCCCCCCTTCCCATGAGGTTGTAGTCGCCCCCACACTCCCGGCTCATACCTGCTGTCCACAAGGTTCCCATGTGGCCGCCATCTTTCTTTCCCGAGAGGAGAGGGCAAATGGGGCAACACCCTTTCCCCTCCGGCAGACTTGATGGGCTGGATCAATGCATAGTCCGTTCACTTTTCTGCTCCAAGCTGCTGGGTTCTGCATTAAGTCCTTGTGCTTCTGGGGCCGTGGCCGTGCTGGAGAGCCGCTCGTGAGGGGCGACTGGTGACCTCGGTAGGGCGTGAAGGACGGACTGGAACGCCCCCCTTCCCATGAGGTTTTAGTCTCCCCCACACCCCCGGCTCATACCTGCTGTCCACAAGGCTCCCATGTGGCCGCCATCTTTCTTTCCAGAGGGAGGAGGGCGGAAGGGAGCAACACCCTTTCCCCTCTGGGCAGAAATGATTGCCTTGATTAACGCGTAGTCCTTTCACTTTTCTGCTCCAAGCTGCTGGGTTCTGCATTAAGCCCTTGTGCTTCTGGGGCTGTGGCCGTGCTGGAGAGCCGCTCGTGGGGGGCAACTGGTGACCTCGGTAGGGCGTGAAGGACGGACCGGAACGCCCCCCTTCAATATGGGATTATTTTTTCTTTTTTGGGTCACACTTGGCGATGCACAGGGTTTCCTCCTGGCTTTGCACTCAGGTGTTACTCCTGGCAATGCTCAGGAGATGATATGGGATGCGGGGAATCGAACCCAGGTTGGCCATGTGCAAGTCATACGCCCTATCCGCTGTGCTGTCTCTCCAGCCCCAAGAATAGGGGATTTTTAAGGACCAGAAATTTGACTCTGTTAATGTTTCATTCTCGAATTTGTCTCTGTACATCATCCCCCCCCTCCCCCCGGTTCGGTAGAATTTGCCTTTTTTCTTGTTATATTTTTCACCACAGCCTACAGTGCTCAGTGTTTACTCTTGTCTCTGAGCGCAAAGATCATTTGAGAAGAGTCAGGGTAACATTCTGTGTTTAGATATCATTGATTCGATGTTAGGTGAAAATGCAGGATCAGGCGACTTCTTACCCCCACTCCCCCAGTGTGTGACCGACCAGTCCAGCATTTGCCTCTCCACTCCTCTATTCGAGTCCATCCCCCGTGCAGCACAGATTCACCTGGGTGGCAAAAAGGTTCTCTGTGCCTAGACTCTGGCTCTTTACAGTACCTAATGGAAGCGGAAGTGATGTCATAAGTGATGTCATAAATGTCATGGTTCATTTTCCATCCCTCACTCAGACACTGGGGCTGTTGCTCACTTGGCAAAGGACAAGTAAATTTGCTCCCCATGGGCTGGAGCGGTAGCACAGCAGTAGGGCGCTCGCCTTACAAGCGGCCAACATGGCCGACCCGAGTTCGATTCCTCCGCCCCTCTTGGAGAGCCCGGCAAGCTACCGAGAGTATTCGATATGCCAGACACAGTAAAAACAAAGTCTCCAATGGAGACGTTACTGGGCCCGCTCGAGCAAATCGACGATCAACGGGAGGGCCTTTACCTTTACCTTTACCTTACCTGGAAGGGGGACTCTGAAGAAGGATTTAGTTGCAGGATTCGAACAACCTCCTGTGAGCACCCTGCACCTTCCCGTTTCCACACTCTGAGCCGAGGGGCCGAGCCAAATTGGGGGGCACTTTTGCGCTGGTTTTTCACTTGTTCGCCAACATACAGGTGGATCGTGAGGTGTGATGGAGGCTTTAGGGCGACGCAGAGCTTTGGGGGTGCAGTGGGGGCTGTCTCAGGGTTCAGGTGTGACAGTTGTGAGTTCGTGATTCTGGCATGCCTCTTTTGCCATGATCGTCTCCAGCTCCAGGATGGGGCAACAGTGGGTGAATGCGGGAATCATCCGAGGGCTTGGCTATTCCAATCGTCCCAGCAGTCCCATGTTAGAACCATCGGCCCTAAGCTCGCTTCTGTAGAATCCCGAGATTTGAGGTGCAGAGCTTCAGCCCCTCCACCTAATGGCAGGAAACCTGTTGCTGGTTATCTTCATTTTCTCCCGTGATAGACGCGATCATGCGGGGTATATGGGGGGGAAGGGGGCCTGCAGGTGGCAGAGGTTTGCCAATGAAAATGTATTTTGGGGGCTATTTTTGGTTCTTTATATTTTAGGGGGAGAGAGAGCACATACGCGGAGATGCTCATGAGTTACTCGAGTCTCTAAGCTCACGTATTATCCCTGGCGCTGCTGGGGGCCATATCGGATACAGAGGATTAGTTGGTTCATCTAGTCAAGCACCCAGTTCACATTATTGCCTTCTAACCACAATACCAGTGTATCTTTTTCTGGTTCATGAATTTCAGGTCCCTCACATCAAGCTGCAAAGCACCCCTGACTCTTCATCTCTCCCTGAGCAGACGACACAGGCCACTGTGGTAAATACTGAGGTCCCCAGAACAGAGTGCCCAGGTGCATGTCCTTGTCTACCCTACAAGAGAGCGTCGAAGATTTGTTCACTCTAAGTCATATGGTGTAGACACATTCCAGGCTACGGTTCCCAAGGGACAGCACTGCTGCCAGCTGCAGGGGGGCGCTAGTATTCGGGAGCTCCTGGGCTGAGAGTCGGCCCCTGAAAGGGCCTACAGGGACTTTCCTGTGGGAGCCAGAGAGGAATCTGGGGATCAGAGAAGGCTGTCTTTTCTTCCCCTTTAGCCTGGGACCAGGCTCCTCTCCTGAAGTACAGCACAGATGCCAACAAAATTTGCATCCCCAGCGGAGACAGGAGCTTCTGCCATTGTCTCCCAGAGGTAGAATTGTGAGGCTGTGCCAGAGGGTGTGGCTGCTCTGAGCTCAAGAGTGGGAGGAGGTGCTCCTGTCTGGTGCTCAATGTTCCTACTTCTCCAGGTCTTTGCAGGGAGCCTCGTGCTGATCCTCAGAACATCAGTGACAGGAGAAGATGGTGACGCGGCTTCTCCTAAACCATCCCCAGGTAGGAGTAGAGGGATAGAATGACATGAGGTAGTACCAGGAGTGCCCAGGCTTCCTGGACCATCTGTTTTGAGTTTCTTTTGGACGGATTCCAAGATGAGACTTCCGATCGGACCGTCCCATTCTGCTGTTTGAAGCTGCTTTTGTGTATGTTTGTTTTGTTTTATTTGGCCTTGGGGCCGACCCAGTGGTGCAAGAGGAGTACTCAAAGCTCAGTGCTCAATGCTCATTCCTGAAAGGTCTAGGTGACGAATGGGATGCTGGAGGTCCAAAGGTTTCATCTTGGGTTTTCTGTTTTCTTTGGGGTGGCAGAGCAAGGATTCTTGCAATCATTTCTTGTGCTGCACTCTGGCATTGCCCCTGGTAGTGCTTGTGGACCATATGGGATGTTGGGGACCGCCAGTCCTACATGCTGTCCCTGAAGTAGCTGTCCTATTACGCCAAACTGCTGCTTCGGCTTCTTTTGCATCGTTCTTCTCATCAGCTGTCCTCTTGACTCTGTGCTCTGGATTCACAACTGACTGGCGTCAGAGCACCCTGGGGTGTGTTGGCCCCATTTGCGCCCTGGCAACTACAGTGACTTGGGCCTCCAGACTTGCTTTTCTCCTGTTTTGTCCTTCCTGCGTTGGAGAGACTACCTGCTCGGTCATATAGGCTTAAGTTCACATAATCTTGTGTGTGGATTTCTGGGCATGTGCTGATCCCAAGGAGAAAGCCAAGGATCTCTGCGGCCAGTAGAGATGTTGGGGTCAAGAAACTTCTAACTTCTTTGAGCGGGATGTGGGGTGGTCCAGTGCAGTGAGTTCCTACAGGCAGACATGCCATGCACTGTTCTGAGTAGTTGTCTATATGGACTCTCGAGTTCTCAATCCTAGTGGTCATGTGCTGTGGGGGTGCAGCGGTGAGCATGCAGTAGTTTTTGCTACACCCAGGGATAGCCTTTTGGATCGTACAAGTCTGTGTTCAGGTGATCCTCTCTACAGTGCTCACTGGAACAGTGGTGCTCGAATTGGCCGGGGGGTTACCAGGAAAGGCAGATACATCCAAGAACCTTCTGTATCACGTCGTCCCACTTTAGCAGATCCAGTTGCCTTATGTGATTTTTGGGGCCCATCAGTCATGCGTGAGCATGGAGGCTGGTTTATTCGGAATGGAGAGGCCCCGCGACAATATAGGACCCTGGGACCTGGCCTCAGAGTAGTGTGAATGAGGCTAAGATAGATTGTGACTCCCACCCTCTTCGTGTGCTGACTCAGGACACAGTGACCTTCCATGACGTGGCTGTGAACTTCACCCCAGAGGAATGGTTATGCCTGGAGGCCTCTCAGCGGAAGCTCTACAGGGACGTGATGCTGGAGACCTACCAGAATCTGCAGGCTGTCGGTGAGAGCAGTGTGGAGCCAACCATGTCTGAACAGACCTGCGTTGACTCACTGGGGTTGGGCGGAAGCTGTGTGTCCAACAGTAGCTCTGTGACGGGCGTGCAGTAGCTCTTCCCTCCCTCGTGTTTTTTAGGGTTCAACTGTGGATACTCAGGGCTTACTCTCAGCTTTGTCTTCAGGAATTACTCTTGTGGGGTAGCCGGACCCTATGGGGTGATTCAGATCAACGCGTTTCAACTGTGTCCATGGGAAGATCCCTCTCTGACCAGTTATCACCCAGGTCCCTTTAAATAGTTCCATCCATTGGTGAATCAATTCACTTTGTGTACTACACGAAATTTTGTGTGTTTAATTGGTTTTGCTGTTGCCTTTGTTTGGGGGGCACAGTCCACAGTTCTCTTGGCTCTGTGCTAAAGGATGACGACTATGAGTGTTCAGGGGCCATATGGAACCGTATATTTAAACCTCTTGGCAAGTTAAACTGTCGCTGCCTCACCCCCAGTACTTTTGCATCAGTCACTCAAGTCAGACGGTTTTTGCATTTTCTTTTTTCCTTAGGGATTAGGAATTATTCCTGCCTGTGTATTCAGGGTCCACACCTGGCCTTGCTCCAAGACCATATGGGCTGCCTGGGATCAAACCCACATGTATGTGCAGCACTTCTGTCTTATCTGCTGTACTATCTCTTTCCCACCACAGGGGATTTGATATTTCATCTCTCAACTCATTAGACGCTGCCCTATTTCAGTGCTTTGATTTACTTCTAATGGTTCTTGTGAGACTTCAGCAGGACTTAGGGGTTTGCTTCTGGACTCTGCACTCAGGGATCGCTCCTGGCTGGCATGAGGGACCCTAGGAGATATCGGGTATCACAACTGGATTGTCCGTGAGAAACTCCTGCTGTGCTCTCTTTCTGGATACATTTTTAGCTTAAAAAATAAGGGTATCTTGTCACCCTTGGCCATTTCCAGATTTATTATGCACTTAGTTTTACTGAAGTCCGTGAAAAGTTCATGAGGGGCTGAGGAAACTCCATGGCTTCTGAACCTAGAGAGATAGTACAGGGATGAAAGTGATTTTCTTGCAAGCGGTGCATGTGGGTTAAATTCCCGGCAACCCATGTCATACCCGAGCACCAGCAGTAGTGATTTCTGAATACAAAGTCAGGAGTCTCCCCTGATCATTGCCAGGTGAGACCCAAAACAAGACAAAAAACAAAAACATACTGTGCTAATCAACCCCCTATCTGCCACACACAAGGCCAGGTCTAGAGTATTTGTGATATTTTCTTGGGTCTTACCTCTCGAATAACTAGAAATATGTGGAATTTTGGAAATGGACATTCTGTTCATGATTTTCAGATAAATGCCCACTTATATCAAGAAAACATGGGCATTTACCTGTCACCCTTTCCCTGTGACTTATCCATGCCTCTGTCTCTGTTGCGGCAGGGCACACTGGAATGAAACCTGCAGTGATCTCCTGGCTTGAAGGAGGAGTTTTGAGGTCGGGTAGGAGAGGCGTGTGTGCGGGTGAGTGTCTGAGGACCCTTCCTGGATCAGGCCCTGTGCAGTGTATGGGTGCCCTGAGCATGTGTGAAACATGCTGCTGAGGCCGGGGCCTTGGTGTCCTGTATCCTTGGGTCTGTGCCGCACTCAAGCTGCTCTTCATTTACTTGGATTGTCAATCACAGAATGATCCTGTAATTTGCTTCCATGGCTTTCCAATAAATAAGACCATAACATTGATAGTTTGGATCTAAACGATAGTACAGCAGGGAGCGCCTTGCAGTGCCTGAATGTGACCTGTTCAATAATCTGTTCAATAACCTGGTTCCCCGAACATCACCAGGTCTGCTCAAAAACAAAAACATAACCTAGTGTAGAATTGCCAAGATCCTCACAGTTTTCCACTATCCGAATCTTTTGTTTAGTGTGGGACTCTTTGGACTTTGAGAACCACAGAGATGTACTCTTAACTACATGGCATCATTTTGCTACATATTGTGACATGTGTGACATGTGTGAATTGCATGTTCTCTTCAGTTTCAGAACTGAAACCGCGACTTCAGAATTTGGTATTACAGCACTTTGATTTGGAAATGGGGTCAGCAAGTACGAGTGAGTTGGTAAGATTCACGAATACAGAATAAATATTATGCCAGCAGGAGTGGACCAAGTATGTGATTGTAAAGGTGGAGGGCTGGGATTGGCAGGGATAAATTCCAAAACCTGATGCTTGGAGTAGAGGACTCTTAGCTTTGCTAGGTGCTGACATCAACCGTGTATAAAAATACTGTGAGTTTTTGATTGGCTTGACAGTGGTAGTTGTTTAGAAAGCTAATTTGTGCGCCCTAGAGATGGTGCAGTGAGAAATATACTTGTTTTGCATAGGGATGGATGGTCCTTACCCAGCACGCCTTATAGACAGCATAGACCCACAGAACTGATCCGAGACACTGCATGGTGTTCTCCTCCACCCACCCAACCTCCAATGAATAGACACTACAAAACAGAAAGAAAAATAACTTTATTGATCCTGAAAGGAATCACTTGTGGTGAGAGCATTGCAATGGCCACGTGATCTGTCTCAGCTGCGTTACGATGCAGCGTAGTCTTCACCCCTGCATCACAGGTTCCACACAGAACTTTAACCAAATCCACATGTGAATCTATTTCATTTTCTCTTGAAATGGATGTGTCCGTTTTCTATAGAAGGAATTATTTCTAGTTGTATTCCTTCATTAAATTAAAAAGGGGGAAAGTCCCAGAATTTACTCTCTATCCATCAATGTTGTGCGTCCAACTTACGGTAACATGAAGTTATTCAATAGTAAGAAAATTCATATGTCAGTAATTGCATTTTTGTGGTGCATATGTGTGGAACTACATCTGAAGGGCTCAGTTTTTTGACAGGAAGACTCAGTGTATAAGTCAATAATTAGAATCCTCTGTTGTTCTGCAGGAAAGCTGCCACCCCGAGTGGAATGTCTCTGATCCTGCACTGTATGATAATGTCTCAACTGATCAATCCTGCCCTCAGCCCCATGAGGACGATGAGACAGGCGGGATTTCTTCTGAGGGTGATCAGAATGGTGAGAGCTACCTCACTCTGAAGAAGCCCTCTCCTGGAGAAAGTTCCTTGGAGTGTGTTATTCTCAGTTCACAGACACAAAATTCCCCAATGGGGTACCTGCTAGGGAGAGAAGCACTGTTTATAGTTAGTCCCTCACAGCAACATACCCTCAACCACAGTCACCGTGAGCAGAACCCATATAGGTGTAAGGAATGTGGAGGAGCCTCCCCATGTTCTCAGTACTGTGGTGTACCCTTAGAAAACCATAGTGGACAGAATCCCCAGAAATGTCAGCCCCAAGAACAAAGTGTGAGTCAAGGGTTACTCCATCATGACCATATGAATATAAATTCAGGAGCGAAACCTTTTGCATGTGAAACATGTGGGAAGGCCTTTGATCAATCATCACATCTTATGCATAGGAGAATTCATACAGGAGAGAAACCTCATGAATGTCAGACATGTGGGAAGGCCTTCATTCAGACCTCTAGTTTTAATGGACCTATGAAAACTCATAGTGCAGAGAAGCCTTCTATATGTCAGGAGTGTGCTAATGCCTTTACTCGATCCTCAGGCCTCAGTATACATAGAAGTATTCACACTGGAGAGAAACCGTATATATGTAAGGAATGTGGGAAGGCCTTTGCGAAAGCCTCAAGTCTTAGTGTACATAGGAGAATTCACACTGGAGAGAAACAATATATATGTAAGGAATGTGGGAAAGCCTTTGCGAAAGCCTCAAATCTTAGTGTACATAGGAGAATTCACACAGGAGAGAAACCGTATAAATGTAAGGAATGTGGGAAGGCCTTTGCTCAATCCTCAAGCCTTGGTGTACATAGGAGAATTCACACTGGAGAGAAACCGTATACATGTAAGGAATGTGGGAAGGCCTTTGCTGGAGCCTCAGGACTTATTGCACATAGGAGAATTCACACTGGAGTGAAACCATATATGTGTAAGGAATGTGGAAAGGCCTTTGCTTTGGCCTCAAGACTTAGTGAACATTGGAAAATCCACACTGGAGAGAGACCCTATGTTTGTAAGGAATGTGGAAAGGCCTTTATTTTGGCCTCAAAACTTAGTGTACATAGGAGAATTCACACTGGAGAGAAACTGTATATATGTAAGGAATGTGGGAAGTCCTTTGCTGAATCCTCAAAGCTTAGTGTACATAGGAGAATTCACACTGGAGAGAAACCGTATATATGTAAGGAATGTGGGAAGTCCTTTGCTGAATCCTCAAAGCTTAGTGTACATAGGAGAATTCACACTGGAGAGAAACCGTATATATGTAAGGAATGTGGGAAGTCCTTTGCTGAATCCTCAAAGCTTAGTGTACATAGGAGAATTCACACTGGAGAGAAACCGTATATATGTAAGGAATGTGGGAAGTCCTTTGCTGAAGCCTCAAGCCTTCGTGTACATAGGAGAATTCACACTGGAGAGAAACCGTATATATGTAAGGAATGTGGGAAGGCCTTTGCTGGAGCTTCAAAACTTACTGTACATAGGAGAATTCACACTGGAGAGAAACCGTATATATGTAAGGAATGTGGAAAGGCCTTTGCTACAGCCTCAAGCCTTAATGTACATAGGAGAATTCACACTGGAGAGAAACCGTATATATGTAATGAATGTGGAAAGGCCTTTGCTTTGGCCTCAAGACTTAGTGAACATTGGAAAATTCACACTGGAGAGAGACCCTATGTTTGTAAGGAATGTGGAAAGGCCTTTATTTTGGCCTCAAGACTTAGTGTACATAGGAGAATTCACACTGGAGAGAAACCGTATATATGTAAGGAATGTGGGAAGTCCTTTGCTGATGCCTCAAGCCTTAGTGTACATAGGAGAATTCACACTGGAGAGAAACCGTATATATGTAAGGAATGTGGGAAGGCCTTTGCTAAATCCTCAAGCCTTACTATACATAGGAGAATTCACACTGGAGAGAAACCGTATATATGTAAGGAATGTGGGAAGTCCTTTGCTGATGCCTCAAGCCTTAGTGTACATAGGAGAATTCACACTGGAGAGAAACCGTATATATGTAAGGAATGTGGGAAGGCCTTTGCTAAATCCTCAAACCTTACTATACATAGGAGAATTCACACTGGAGAGAAACCGTATATATGTAAGGAATGTGGAAAGGCCTTTGCTGGAGCCTCAAGACTTAGTGTACATAGGAGAATTCACACTGGAGATAAACCATAATATATGTAAGGAATGTTGGCGTGGATGTGGCGAGAAAGGGACACTCCTTCACTGTTGGTGGGAATGTCCACTGGTCAGCCCTTCTGGACAACAGTATGGACGATTCTCAAAAAATTAGAAATTGAGCTCCCATTTGACCCAGCAATACCACTCCTGGGAATATATCCCAGAGAAGCAAAAATGTATAGTCGAAGTGACATCTGCACTTGTTTGTTCATTGCAGCACTCTTTACAATAGCCAGAAACTGGAAGAAACCTGAATGCCCAAGAACAGATGACTGGTTAAAGAAACTTTGGTACATCTACACAATGGAGTACTATGTAGCTCTTAGAAAAGATGAAGTCATGAAATTTACATACAAGTGGTACAATATGGAAAGTATCATGCTAAGCGAAATGAGTCAGAAAGAGAGGGATAGACATAGAAAGATTGCATTCATCTGGGGGATATAAAGTAACAAAGTATGAGATTAATACCCAAGAATAGCTGAGATCAGCACCAGGAGGATTACTCCATAACTTAGAGGCCAGCCGGGTATCCTAGAGGAAAGGGCAGTTCAGATAGAGAAGGGAGCACCAAATAAAGGATGTTTGGAGGATCCTCCCAGGAGGGGAGATGCATGTTGAAAGTAGACTATGGACTGAACATGTTTGCCACTCAATGCCTCTTTTGCAGACCACAACACCCAAACGGAGAGAGAGAACACAGGGGATTGTCCTGCCACAGAGGCAGGGGGGGATGGGGGGATGGGGGTGGGAGGGATATTATCCATGGTGGTGAAAAACGGGCACTGGTGGAGGGATGGGTATCTGATCATTGTATAATTGAAACCCAAGCACAAAAAAAAATTGTAAATCTACAACTGTAAAAAAATAAAAAATAAAAAAAGAATAAGCCCTGAGCACAGCCAGCTGTGGATCCCCCCAAAAATTTAAGTAAAATAAAATAAAAATAGAATCTGAAAAAAAAAAGGAATGTGGAAAGTCCTTTGCTGAAGCCTCATACCTTTGTGTACATAGGAGAATTCACACTGGAGAGAAACCATATATATGTAAGGAATGCGGAAAGGCCTTTACTTCATCCTCACAATTGACTATACATAGGAGAATTCACAGTGGAGAGAAACCGTATATATGTAAGGAATGTGGGAAGTACTTTGCGGAAGCTTGCTGATTTTTACCCGGGCTGCACCTATGCCAGTATTCTTGTGCTTGGAACTGCTTGTGTGTTAACTTGTAAATAATGGGTCATGGTGATGAAAATAAGGAGGAAGATGACTGAATAAACTGAATAAACACCCTCCTGCTCAGAGCTGTAATGGCTCACTACTCTGTTGTTGTTTGCTATGCTTCTGGCTTGGCCCAGTGGGGCTGGTTAGCGGGAATTATGGCAGAAATCAACCAAGATGCAGCATTGAATACTTTGAAAATGGAAAAATAGGTAATCCTTCATTCTTCCGTGTTTCCTGTGTTAGGATTTGGGATGCTTGAGCACCCTGGTTTGGCCACTTGAGCGCCAGGTCAAGCCAGCTTGTATGGTGCATTCACGCTTGTTTGTTACTTGTTCTGGATATCCAGGCTTTAGTGGATGTGGAGCTTTTGAGGGGTGCATTGGGTGCTGTTCTGTCACTCAGGTGTCATGGGTGAAGGTGCGTTATCCTGAGTGCCCCTGCAGCCACCATCGATCCAGGTCCAAGACGGCACTGGAGGTTGGGCACATGGACTTCAGGCCTTGGTGTGAGGAGCTTGCAAAGAGTGGAGGTGTTGGTCATCTCATTCCTCCCTACTGGAGACTGTGAAGGACCCTGTTTTGAGCCTTTGGACTGGACCTAACACTTATCGAAACTCCAGATATGTTCACAGGCAGCCCCCAAAGGAAAGGGACACTTTTGCCGTCAGTCATTTTCATTGGCTTCAGTGCTGGGTTTGGCACTTTGGGTTTTGTTTAGACAAATGAGAGGTATATGCCTTGAAAATTTACTCTTTGGATTATATATATTTTTTTGTTTTTTGTGTCACACTCAGCGTTTCACATGGGTTTCTCCTGACTTATGCACTCAGGAATTACTCCTGGTAAAGCTCAGGGGACCATATTGTTTCTGGGATTCGAACCCGGGTTGGTCACGTGCAAGTCAAACCTCTTACCCGCTCTGCTATCACTTCAGCCCCTCTTTGGATTAATTTTAATAGCTGCTTTTATTCAAGGCAGTTGGAAGGGATTCTTTGATGCACAAGGTTTACTTCTGGTTGTGCATATCAGGAATTATTCTGTGGTGCTGCTGGGTACCTATCGGATGGGGAGGCTAGCATCCTAGTAGCTTCACAGTGATTCCAACCCCACTATTGGTGTTTTTTTTTCCATATATAGAATTTCTACAACCTGGGATTATGGTACCGCCAGCAGGTCAATATGTGCCTGTAAGGCGACTGAATCAGCAGCCTGATGGCACCATCAGACTTCCAGATACTCCAAAATTGATGCTGTGCCTTTGGCCAGACTCCAAAAACTTTGGGCAAAGTCTTCCAAGAAAGTAAACAGCCAATGTTAGGTATGTGCAAGACACACCAACAAACCATTTCCTGCTCAGCTATATAATTGGAGGCAAGGTCTCTCTGGTTCCTGATCAAACCTCTTAAAGGCTATGATCCCAGAGACTCAGAGATAAATCTCGGAACCCAGCGGCTTTTTGCAGAGATGTGCCCGATACCCACAATGAGCTACCGGCGACAGACCACCACAAGGGGGAAAGGGGGTGTGTCTCCACCTGATCCCACTTGGTGGCTCAGTGGCCACCATCTTCCAGAGGCCATTGGACAGACAGGTTTGGGCCTGCAGTGACAAGACATGCAAGGCCTCATGGGATTGGGCTGGACTCTGCACTTTCCTCCCCACCTCAATGAGACCCCGAGTCACTGCCCATGTACGAACTCTCTGGCTGATCCCAGAATCTCAGAAACTAATTTCGGAACCCAGTGGCTTTCAGAAGAAATCTGTTCTGTCCCCACAGTAGGTTACCTAAGCTGGGTATTTCAGGTGGGAATAGGTTTTGTGCCTGGCGGCTCAGTGGCCGCCATATATTAGGGTTCTGGACGGTTAGGTTTGGGACTGCAGTGAGGAGACATGCAGGGCCTAATGGGATGGTGGTGGAGCTGGCCCTTTTCCCCCTGCCCCAACGAGACCCCGAGTTGTCTGGCGCCTACGATTGACCTCTATGGCTCGTGATCAAGGTGAGTAATGGACATGATCCCAGAGATTCAGAGACAAATCTCGAAACCCAGTGCCTTTTAGCAGAAAAGCATCTGGACCCTGCAGTAGGTTACTGTCCCAGGTCCACCCCAGGGGGAATTGGTGCTGTCCCGCCAACTGCTCCTCCTTGGCGGCTCGGTGGCCTCCATCCGCCAAAGGCCTTTGGAAAGTCAGGTTTGTGCCCACACTCAGGAAGATACGTGGGGCCTCGCAGGATGGGTGTGGAGCTGGCCAATTCCTCCTCACCCCAACAAGAGCCTAAGTCATTCCCACGAACCGCCTCTCTGGCTCGTGACTAAGCTGTTTAATGGCCATAATCCCAGAGACTCAGGAACAAATCTCGGAACCCAGCAGGTTTTTGCAGAAATTCCTCCAGATTTAGTTGTTAAAATTTCAGAATTCCAAAATCATATGTTATTTATAACCAGCAAATAAAAAAGAATTGTCTACTGTTGCGTTTTCACCAGATCTAACTGCCGGAGTAAAATGCCAAATAATAATGGTGGGTCTTGTGTCAAAATATTGAATGTAATCAAAGTAGAGAAAAGAATTGGAAATTATCTGCCCCACAGGTAGAGGAAGGCTGTGGAATGGCGTTATACTTGGGTTTTTAGTGATGGAAAACGGGCATGGTGAAGGGATGGGTGTTTCATTGTATGACTGAGACTTAAACCTGAAAGCTTTCTAAGGGCTCTTCCATTTTCCCCCGTTTTCTCTCATTTATTTAGAAATGGCCAGAATAATAGTAGAGCAAGTAGGATGCTACCTTGCATGTGGCCAACCCAGGAGTCTTCCAGTCCACAACGTCTTTTCATTGCTTATTGGACATTCAGCGTCCCCTTCTCATTCCTAGAACATGTAATGTGGGGGTGTGGCATGGGGTAGGGGTGTCTTCTCCCCAGAGCTGTTCATTACGGAGAGATCCAGTGCTTTGCTTTCTTGACTTTGTTGTGATTCTTCCCTATCTGTCAGGTATGTCAAGTAGTCCATGTGTTTCAAGGCTCTTGTTTTCCCAGTTGTATAACTGGCCAGATTGTACAACTAATGGGTCGGGTACCCTTTCTGGACCCTGCTCAGTCAATCTGACACCATGCATATATTTGCCTTTGGATCATTGTCATGTTTTTTTGAAAATGGGAAGAAATTGAGTTTTCTTTTGTTATGGGGCCTGGGGATGCTCAACAGTTATTTCTGGTGGTTCTCATAAGTTGCTTTTAGCAGTGTATAAGGATCAAACCCTGTCAGCCTCATGGTAGGCAAATGCCTACCTACTGTACACTTGTAAGCGCTAAAAAATGTTTTATTGTGTGTATGTTAAATTGTGACTGTGAGCCCATAGTGAAGTTAATTAGGACCAGAACAGCAGTGCATCACAGAGGGTGCTTGCCTTACAGATGCCGCCTACCTTCGATGTCCAGCATCCCCTTTGGTATCCCAAGCATCACTGGGTCTGATTAAAAACAAAACCCAAAAGGATTTTTTTGGGGATTGCCGAGCTCCTCCCAGCAACACTTCCCGCAGATTTTCCCTTTCTGTAGGCTTGCTTGGACTGTGAGAACTATGGAGATGTCCTCCACCTGTTTGGTCATTCAGCTGCATTCCATTCAACATTGGACTAATTCTCATTGTGCATTTTGTGTGATTTCAGAACTTAAATCACAGGTTTAGGATGTGACATTACAGCAGTTTCTTTAGGGAACAGGGGTATTGCATACAAGTGTGCTGTAAGAGTCTCTTGTTGAAACTATTATGCCATTGGAGTGCTCAGTGGACCGAGCATGCAACTTGAAAGGTGGGGTCCGGCTCCATCCCCACAACAACATCTATGGTCTCAGCATCACAGGAAAAATAATGGAGCCTAATGCTGGGACTAGAGGGTCTTTAACCTCAGTGGGTGCTGAAATCTGGAAATTTATTTTATTGTATTGTTTTTTAAAGTCTTCATTAAAATGCCAGTATTTTCAATGTTATTGATAGTTGTGTTTAGGCGTCCCATCATTGAACACCAATTCCTGCATCAGCTTCCCTCCACCCATGTTCCTGTATTCCCTCCCCACCCAGGTGCCCACTCTGCCCCCACCTGTCATCTGGACAAGCACTTGACTAGGTTTCAGTGGTTACAGCTTAGATCTCTTGTTTTCAGTTCTCTTGCATCTGTATTTTGGGTAAATGGCTACACCCCTCACTCATGAATCCCTGATCCCTGTAAACTTCTGGGTCTCTTCTGCCCCAAATTTCATTCCTTCTTTGTCCGGCTTCTCTCTAAACTCTGGAATCAGGGATGATTTAAGCAGCCCCTTTACATTACATTTCCACATCCAGTGTGCGGTACTCCACAGATGAGTGAACAACATCCTGTTTTTGTTTCTTTTTCTGGCTAACTTCACTCAAGACAGAATCTTCCAGTTCCAACCATGTTGCTGCATAAAAGCAGTAATTCTAAAACCTAAAAAATATATCAATTGATCTCCCTTTATTCATCGATTTATTCGAGTGGGTGTCAGTAACGTCTCCATGCATACCTGTTGCGTGCTAGTGTAGCCCAATGGCATCTGTTTGTTCTAGGAACATGGAGAGCCTCAAACTGATTTTTCAGGGTCTTGAGTAAGAAGTCTGAACATCTTGTAGGTGGGCGTCCACGCAGTCTTTTGACGTCCCGTGGAATTCAGTCAGTAATGGGTCTAGGCCAGTGGTTGTCTGTAAACCTCATTTCATGTCCAGTCCATCTGATTTTTGATGCCTTAGAAGATCAGACAGCATCCCTGATTCTTGACCGTCGATGGAGATCAGAACTCCGGATTCTATCTCTCATTTGAGTGATGCGTGATATTCCAAGCATAGCTGTTTCGATTCCTCTTTGAAAGACCCAAGTAGCGTTCTCATCCTGTTTTCATAGGGCCCAGGTCTTTAACGCATATGTTAATGCA